AGTCAACAAAGAATTCATACCAGATTAGTTCAGAAAAACAACTGGTAAACTGTATTCTGTTGTCTTCATCCCAACCATAACTAGAATTGAATGGCTACAATCTGAAACTGTTCCTAGAACTAAAGAAACCACACTCAGCCCAGATGCCAGGATCGGAAAACCCTGACACTTTCTGCCAGCTTAGAATCCCAAAATTAAAACAATTCCCACGATAGAAAATGACAGTAATTTATCGTTTCCGAAACTTCCTCTTTGGCTGCGGAAACTCGAGAGGGACAGAAAGGGTTACCAAATACTTGTTCTTCTCACGTTCCATCTTGCAACCCAGATTGCGATAATGAGATTTCACAGTAGCAGGATTCATTCTTAGATCATTGCTTACATCTGCCGGAAAAGTCCGGAAATCATCAGCATATAAAGTGAGAACCAAAACATAACTAATGAGAAGATCAATCTTCTCAACTGACAGCCTTCTTGTTTCAGGATTAAACATCTCTAAAAATTTCTGCCGTATGATGCTTGGAAACTGATGGTTCCTAGCAGAGGCTGCACCATCCAAAGAATGCTGATCTTTAAACTTTATCAGATGAGTGATGTATGAGAAAATACATGAAAGTCTCTTCTTCTCCATCTCATCCTAGAACAGGCACAACATAAGTATCAGTGCCATTGCTGTTCCCAGCCAAGAAATATAAACACAAAACAATACCTCATGACTGATAGCATGAATACTATTTATCTATGAAAATTTAGAAATTTTCAACTAAATTTCACCAACTTTGTGTGTAAGCAAGACATCTTGAACAATAAAATGCTGGAAAGGCATGGTTCTTAAGACCAAAAGCCAATTGAGGATGTAAAACCAAGAATGTGAAATTATCCAGCTATTTAACTACAATGACAAATCATCAGCTCTCAAGCACGCTACTTCCAAAATCAAGTGTAAAGTTTTCCAGCTAATTAGCTATAATGCAATCATCAGCGATCTACCATGCTTCTCCCAAAAGGAATATTCCACTACTAAACACATACAAAATAAAATTTGTGAAATTTGCTAAAATTTCATCTTTTCTTGTTTAACATTCATCTAGGAAATGGTATGTTTAAAATGCATCAGGAAGAATGTAACCCCACAATTTTTTCTTAGTGAAATTATGATTGCCTCAGACACCATTTCATTACAGGGACATTTTAAAAACCAAAAGTTACAATAAATTAGTCAAAAGTGAATTCCCATTAACATGTTAGCAAAAATATTCCATGCACCCTTCAAATACTTTACCTGAATCTCCCGCAATTTCTGGATCCTGTTGCAAACAAAAGTTGGGTAAGCATTGCTTGCTACTTCTCCTCCTGCTTGCAAAATCTTATAAATATCTTCAAGGAAATCCCACTCTCCAGTGAGAATAATCCCGTCCAAAGGATAAGCCTCCTGGGGGGTAATGGCAGAAGAATTATAAGGTGGAATATTTCGAGCACTGTGGCCACTGGTACTTTCAAGAGCATCCTTGTTTATTGGGGCATTTTCAATTTTCCTGCCCAGATCCTTCTGAGAAAGAGGATCATCTCCCTTCCTCAGAGCCTGCATTTTTTTATCCTGCAGCGCAACAAAGAATTCAGTGCTATCCGCCAATGCTTCCAACAGAACCACACACTTTCCAACTAACAAGATGTTCATTCAATTTGAACCAAAGCATGGGTGAAGAAAATCATTTGTTCTACCAAGGAATCTCATTTTGCAGAAACACTCAAGAAATGAATTTAAGGATCTAATTTGGATGTTGTAGCTCCAACTATTCCTTCTCATGAAAAGAATTGAATCCAAGAAAACTAAGGATCTAACATGAACCTTTTCACGATAACATAACACTCAAATTGCTAAAAGATGACAAACATTTAGCATGCATTTAGATAAATAATCACAAATCCCATCTATCTTTTTCAAAAGAAAGAAAATGCTTCAAATATTCCAGATGTACAAGTTATATACAGATTAAAATCAATTGTTTTATGCTGATATGTAACTTAAATTTGTAGAAGTTGTAAATCTTTTAAGCCCTTTTAGGAAAAATCTAAATGAGCATTTTGGTCGAGGATTTTTTTCACAACCACCGTTTCTTTGCTAGAGCAAAAAAATTGCCGATACAGCATGAGATGCAAGACTCCCACCTTGCCAGTCAAATAGCAAAAAAAGCAAGATTTATTGTCTCCTTAGTTACAGATGGTCCAAGACAAATTCTATTTTGTTACGCAATCATGATCAATAATACATGCATTCTAATAACAATGAAGAACTAAACACATTCATCACTCACAAGTTGATAAAACAACTGCAAAGACCTTTGAGATACCCAAGGGAACCTCCAATTGAATAGAAATAAGAGGCATTCTTCAACAACTTAGAAAAAGAGTATACCTGGATTATAGATTTCTTTGGTCCATATTGAACATTAAGCTGTCTTATCCTGGCAGCTCTCTGTTCTGCAGTAATCTCACCATTTTCAAAATTTGCATGTTCCTTATCAGCAGCAAGCGACCCTCGAAGTTTTGGTTCCAATCTAAGTATCTACCATCATTTTTAAAGACATGTTAGGAGTTTACTATGATGAAAAATTATAGGTGAGCAAGAAAAAATATTTGAGGTTGTTGACTGCTACAGGAAGGTACATATCTAATCTGAAATGAACTTGATTTCTCAATAATTCACATTTTACAAAAAATATATACCAGTGGCTTGAATTTTACAATAGGCTTCACAATTTTACAAGCTTCATTTTCTTACATTTAACAAGCTGAACTTTGCAGTTCCTGAACTACAAGTTTGAAGAGTGTAGTTGCTATACACAGTCAAGTAAAAAACTCGGAAACAATGTTGCATCCATTCTAATTGACCCAGTGTCTCTTTCAAGCCATGACCATGGACTAAAGTCAATTTGAAAGCTCAAAGTCCATTGTTAGCAAGAAGCCTGTAGCAACATCAAATAATCTACATGAAGAAACTACTGGTCTGGACTTATTGGTATAGTGCCATGGTTCCCTTATGGTACTTAATCTATACAGAAAAAGAACTAATAGACTCCCCCAGAAAGATTTTAATAAAGAAATTATACTTAGGTATTTTATGTTTCAGACCTGGACCAGAAATTCAAAAACCTTCAGTGTGTCATTTTGTTTTGTTTGCATAGTTCACTAGCTATAAGCAATGAGAAATATGATGAATCATCCGCAACAAATATTCTCCCACGGGGATCTTAAACTTCAGAAAGTAGCTGTATATCCTCCTAAATCGCTTAATTTCCAGATTAAACCATGTTTGTAAGCTCTTCAATATAAACACAACACAGCTCAAGATACAATCTTCAATTTAATATTTCTCTTTAACCTTTGCTTTATAACAATCATAGAATTTCCCACAATACTAACAAAAGAAAACATAGAATTTACAAAAAATTCCAACAGATAAGCATAAATAAAACAAAACAGTGTCATAATATCCAAAATTTTACTCGGTTAAATAGATTTAAAACACCTCATTACGTCCAGTCAAACAAGAAAGGGAGGGAAAGTAATATAGTTACAAAAAAAATAGTCAAACACTCAAAATATCTATTACTTTCTTCTCTTTATCTCCTGATTCTGAAAACAACCATACAGACAGCAAAACAATCAAATTATTATCTGAAATAATACCTTATTTCCAGCAATAGGCATAATCTTCAAAGTCTGAGTCGTCTTATCAAGAACCCCAAGCGCATAAGTGCACAACTGGGCTGCCATAGCCTCACCTTTATAGCTATTGCCCACGAACTCAATATTCGATCCATTCGGGCTCACTACCAACTCTAGCCTCTCAGAAGTTCTCCCTTTCTCATTCTTTTCACCGGAGCTTTTCTCAACCTTGGCCCTCTGCGCATTCCGATAAAGCTTGACACTTGGTGGTGCAGCTAGTGGGAGGTTTGGTTCTTGTGCATCGTTGATGTCATTTGTTTTGTGGGGGTTATATCCAGACGGGAAATAGCCCACTACAGGTGGGGTTTTGTCAACATGGTTGTTGACAAGTTCAAGTTTGACATCAAGACGGGGCTGCTCATTGATGGTTGGTTCATTTTGGAGTTGGGCTGCGGCGGCACCGTCATCCCTTTCCTTCTCTCTCTTCCTCTTCTTTTTTGATTTCTTGGTAGCTGTTTGTGGTGACTCCGAGACTAGTAAATGCGATGAATCCAACTCCAACCCCATGAGGAACCCCAACTAACAAAGCAAGAAAAAGGCTTTCACTGTTTCTGCATTCAAAACAATAGAACTAATAAAAACCCTAGGTCCTAAGCATGTTCTTTACCTGATTTTTTTTGGTTTTCTCAAATAATAAAAGGAGCTATAGCTTCACTCTTCTTCTAGCTCTCTTGGCCTGTTACTTGTCTTGTCTTCCTTCACTGGAACAAGAACACTGTAGAGACAGAGATATAGTTTGCGGTGGAATGTATAAACCCTAAAAACTTGAAGGTGATGATGCTTTGTAGATTAAACAAAGTTCTTTCTTTTTTGTCAAACCTGTCCCCAACCTATAGAAACAGTCTCGCTTAGGTCCCCATTCTAATTTTCATCATGATTTGATCCTCCAAGTATCGGTAGATTTTCATTTAAACATTAAGGGGAGTGTGAAACTCATATGATTTCTCTTCTTCTTTTTTTTTCTTTTTACATAAAAAGACCTTCAGAAATCAGAGAAACTCCCAACATAAAAAGAAGATATAATTTGATGGGTTTTCTTTTATCATGATGAAAGGAAAATCACGAGTCTCACTCAATAGTTTTATTAATTTCAACACATTGAGGGTTTAATTGAGAATTTATTTATACATTAAGAGCTTAATCGAGAAAAAGAATAGATCAGGGATACAATCTAGATTGCCCTTTATTGAATTTATTTTATTATTTTGATTTTTTTAGTTTTTCATTAATAAAAAAGTCATTATGCCCTCTCTCTCTCTCTCTCTGAGCTGCAAAATTAAAAATTAAAATATATATATATATTAGTTTTTTTATCTTAGCTTTCTCTTAGCTCTCCCATTATTGGAGATGCCCTAAACCGAGTCTTTTAGGCTTAGCACTCGCTCACTAATCACCCACAGAGCAGCATCATATTCTCTTGACCTTCATTAAAATGGAGGAATTGCTAAGAAATTAAAGCACCCTTCTCTTGTATCTCCTCTGCAAATTTCTCTTCTTTGTAGTAAGATTTCTCTCTGTCGATCTCTGTTTTTTTTCTTTGAAAAAGAAAAGGAAAAAAATGTTGCATGTTGGAGTATTTGTATTTGAAATTGATGATAAAGTAATCTTCTTTAACATATGTTTCTCTATGGATGGGTTTTAATTGTTTGTTGATGTTAATATTTTCAAGTCTAAGAAAAAGGAAAAGTTTTTTTTTTTTCTTGCCCATTTGTTCGCTTGTTTGTTTGCTTGCATGTCTTGATGCTAAAGTAAACTTTTTCCAATTTACATTTCTGGATGCTAGCAGCTTCTTGACACTTTCTTCGCTGAAATATGGGTTTTTCCCCCATAATTTTCAAGTTCTTGCTGGTTTTGGGGGTCACTGCATGATTGCTTGAACTCAATTTTTTTGGGAGTAATTAATGCTTTTCGTTATATGTGTGGAGGGTTTGGGATTATTTTCGTAGATATTTACTTTGTTGGATGATTTTATAGAGAGAAGGTTTTATTTGCGTTGCCTCTGTAGTTTATGCTATAATCTTCAAAAACAGTTTGTATCTTCAATTTGTTTTGTAAACGATTAATGCGCTGGGATTTAGTGAAATTCTTTTGTGATGGGACACAATCGGAGTTCATAAAAATTACTACTTGATGTCGGATTTTGATTGGATATTATTTTGAATACTTCGATCGGTTCTTTGTTTGAACTTGTTATTAAACTTGTTTATATTCTAGTTTAAGAAATCAGGTGCTTCTATTCTTTTAAATTTTCATGGACGGCACTCTCCCATGCGGTAGTTTCTTGATGGGACCTGGTATTTTTCATTCCTGTGAAATTGCCTTTGTCTCTTTCTCATTCACAGAATCCATGATTGCATGAAACTTTTTATGTTTTATGGCTACGTGATGGATCTAGTTGTATTTATGAGATTTGCAAATTTATCACCATTGCATGGATTCTAGAACAAATAATCCTTTCTTTCATCTTTCTTTCCAGAGATAGCTTTGGGAATTCTATCTATTCATTATCATAAGGGAGTGCGCTTTTCACGCGAACCATTATATGGCCTTGTATGTGTTCAATGATTATCTAGTTTGATGGGAGCCCAATTAAGGAGGATTTTTGTAACGCTTTGTGCAAATGGATGTCAATGTCAGTTAATGTGCAAGGTTTTTGTTACTTGGAAAATTATTTTCATTTTTTACAATTATTTGTGTCTCTTTCATCAATGTTGGTGGCTTCTTAATTCCTAGTTTCTGAATCTTTTTTACTGGGAAAATGCTATTTGTTTTCCTCTAAGTGATTACTTTTGTGTTAGGATGTAAATCACTTTCCTTGGAGGTGGTATCTACTTTTGTCTTCATATGTTACAATTCTTTTAGAATGCTTACATTGAAATAAGTATAGGTTCAAGAATACCTGGTTGATTTAATTACGCTCTAATTTTCATGTTAGAGACTTTTTGTATTAAATGCATGAGATTCTTTGCTAATACTCAATATCCAGCATGTTACATTGTTTTTAACATCCAGCACATTTCATTTTGTTATGTAGGTCCATCGGAGGAGTGTAGACGGGAGCTGAAACACCAGTTTTATATTTTATTTCTGGGATAAATGAATGAGGGTACTCTATAGCTCTGCATAGATAATCTGCACTAAAACACCATACACCCTTTTGGGGCATGACCCCATTTTTCCTTTTGAGAAAAAAAGTAGGCCTTCTGTTAGGCTTACAGTCAGTAATATAGCTAGCCTGTTTTGTTAGGTGATGGCCTGATGCTGTATGAGATAGTTTTTGAATCTACATTTTTTGGTCAATATGCCTGTTCTTAGTTGTTAGTAAGTGTTACTTAAAAGTTGTTGGTATTTGAGAGGTGCAAATCTGTGGCCATAACAGGAGTTTTCTGCTTCTCTATGTTATCAGGCAACTAGTTTTGCTTTGCTAAGGGGAATCCTGGACATGGGAAGTCTTCATTTTCCATATCATGTAGCTGGCCATTAAGTTGAGCTGGAAAAAAAATTAGAAACCTATATATATATATATATATAAAACCATCTGTCATGCTTGTCACAAAATTATATGTTCTGAACCACATCTGAATGCATTGTGAACTGCTAAATTTCAGCTTCCTTTTTAGACCATCTAGGCTCATATTGTCTTGCAAAATAGCTCTTTTGGATAGCTTGGAATCAATAATTCTATAGCTTGGTGAATGAGTTTGGTTTTTGCAGTTAACTTTTTGAATCAGTGAATGAGAGATTCAAGATGCTTAATGCTTGTTATTATTCTTAAAGCCTTTGAAAAAATTATCTCCTGTAGCAAATTTATCTAGGCAATTTGCTTGAGGTGTTTAGTTGAACACAGGGTATTCAACTGTTGCCATGAACCAGAGAGAAGGTGATTATGTTCCAATTAGAGATGCAGAGAATGTCCAACTGGGAATGTTTGACAAACCCCTTCCTTGCTTTGGCTGTGGAATTGGATGGTTTTCGTGAGTATTGCTTACCTTCCTCTCCCTTTAGTGCCGTCACTCATAGACGTACCTTTTTACTGTTGCCTCATAATTGGATTTGTGTTCTCACTCTTCTCTCATCGATGCGCCTTTACTCTACAGCCTTTTGCTTGGATTTGTGTTCCCGCTGATGTGGTACTTCTCAGCAATTCTCTACTTTGGGAAGTACTATAACAAGGATCCAAGAGAGCGATCTGGCCTTGCTGCCTGTGCAATTGCTGTGAGTGATGAACTTAATTATTAATCTTTTGTTGGCATGGTTTGCTGCCCTCTTCTTTGTCATGTCTGCTGATTAAGCATCAAATATGATACTTGCCATTATTAAAAAATACATAGCTTGGAAAAATTCTGAAATCCAGCCTTCTATCATTGGAATAAAGTTGACAGAGCATCCTGGTGCCACTAAGGAGGTGCCTATGGAGGCGCACCATAGCTGGTGCTAGTGGCAGGTCACTTCCTTAACGCTGAAAAGGTTGAGTGGTCAACTTTCCTGAAATTGCAAAATACAAAATTACCCCTAACTAAAACAAAAATCACAGAACTGGCCTGACATTTAGACCCCAAAAATATGCCCTGTTAACTAGTAAAAAAAGTCTAGGTGATCTCGAATTAGGTTCAATCCAAATCCATGAGCTTGTAGCAGTAGATTTCCCCTTCTGTAAATGTCAGGTGCTATTTGCATCACAAAATGATATGTAGACTAAATGCAGTGGTCTCCCCTTAATGATGTGTGTATTCCATATGATTTTTGTTTGTGTGTCTTGTGTTTATTGGTTTAGTCTTGGCTGATGTAATAGATTAGTCTATCTAATAATTTCTCCTAAAAGAGGTACAAACTGAGCTTTCCAGGAATGAAATAGTTATATACAGCACAATGAAAAGCAACTGGGCAGTCTCAATGTAATTTCCTATCATTTGGAAGAGCAGTGTTTTTGATGGGTGGCAGTTCAAATCCTTTTTTCTGAGCACATATTTTTCAATAATGTGTATACCGTCCTCTCACCGCTGAACTAGACGGTTGCTGCAAAACATTTCATGATAGGTATCAATATAGCTGTGTCTGGAGACTGGAGAGTACTTTATCTTGGGAGAGACCAGAAGTTTCAATGTACTTGTGCCAATCCTTGTGCTAATGGGTGCCACCATAATGGTGTAGGGTTATCTATTGCACATTTTTGTGATGAATTGGTGTGTTTATCTATTTTTTCAGCAAGTAACATGCATGCACTTTATCTGCAGGCTATAGTGTTCACAATAGCTGCGGTGATCGCTTTACTTGTTTATTTGTTGTGATTCTCGCCTCGCCAGATTCATCTTTGCAGCTGCAGTGTATGTTTCAAAAAGATAAGATGAACCTGATTCCAAGTGCTCAAGTTGTAATGGGCCCCGGACCAAGCTTTCTGAAATCTCTGCACTCTTGTACATAATACGAAAATGCTGTACAATGATGGAGGGGAACCCAGCTCAACTGTGAGATCCCCATTTAGTGCAAATCTGTCTATGTATTCTACTTGTAGGTATTAGAAAAGGCGACATTCCTTGATGTGTTCCTTAGATTTTGCTGGAAGCCTGAAGCATGACGAGCGCGGAACCACATGCTTGGCCATTCAATTTAAGCGAAATGACTTGAAATATGAAAATTCCCCTTGTTTATTCCTTGCATTTCGTAGAAAGCTGCTCGTTACGTTACTCCGGATCTTAAAAAAATGCACCTTGTTGTTCATGGCAAGTTCATCTATCTCCTTGACGTGGTTTGAAGCCCTAAACTCTGCAGTGCATGAATTGGGTCCAAGCTGATGCATCATTCAGCCAGAACTGCAGTTCTTGTCCATGATTTGGTTAAATGTAGACGTGGAACATCAGCTTCTGAGCTCGTACAACAAGAGTCATGCCCCCGTCCTTCTAACTTTTGCATATTTGATGAATTTTCCATCATAAAATATCTAAAGTAAGAAACTGTTTTCTGCAAGTGAGTTATTTTATCGGTTAGATTCTGTATGACTTCTTCAGACCTTTTTAATTAATTCATAAAACTCAAATAAGTACCCTAATAATAACAATAATAATGTATTCAAGACCGCAATACAGCAAAAATAATTCAATAAACTTAATATCTAATCCAGATATATGTAGCCTTTTGATCTAATTTATGTTTGTGATTTAGATTTAAATAACTTGTGTCCTATTTTCCTATGCATGGTGGTTTTCTTGTGTTTGAGTACTTCTTCTTCGTGCTTGATCAGCTGCTCCTTTTTCTTCATCAATCCCTTTTTTCTATTTCTTCTTATCCTTTTTAAATGTATCCATATTTAGTTTAAAAAAAAACATATACCCAAATATCCATGTTTGGTAAGTTATTTATTTTCTAAATCCATGGTTATGATAATTACGAACAATTGTCATAATTATAAAATGATTAACTAAATTATAAAAATATAAATTGCTTTTTATGATTATAATATTTTTTAAGATAACAATATGCTTTTTAAGTGTTATTGTTTTCTTAGTAATTACCACGATCACATAATAATTACTTGAGTTGTTGAATGATAAAAAAATAATACCAATTAGTATTTAATAATGAGTAATAACTTTCCATATTTCTAGAAAGTATCACCTTCTCATCCATCCTTGTCTTGACGTGCTGTCGGATGGTGCGTATGGTCCCTAGAATGAGAGGGGGTTTGAATTTGTTTGAAAAAAATCATAAAATACATGATTTAAAAATTTTAAAACTCGTGATTTAATAAAAACTTCTAATGATGTATGAGAGTTTAGTTAAAAGAATTAATTATATATGAAAAAAATTCATTATTCTTAATATATTTTACCTATGATAAATAATATTATCTATTTTTTTGATATAAACTAATATATTATTTTATTTTTTTAATTATTGATCTTTCTAAATTTTTTAAAAAAATTTCATGGTAAGAAGGTTTTTATCTTATTAGGTTAAATTATGGTCATTTTAGAGTCAAAAAATTAAAAAATTAATTAATTTTTTATTCAATATTAGAAATATATCTTAGATATATGTTTATAATCTTATAAAAAAATAATTTTATTTTTATTTTTTATTTTTGAAATGGATATAAAATTCTCATAATTTTAATAAACTAATGATTAAATTCAAAATGCATGAAAAAGGCAAAAAAAAAACTATCTTTGGTGATTTTTGGTAAATTATGCAAATATAATTTATTTTTTAGAAAGTTGGTCATATGCCCACACAAATAAAAACATATTTCAAATAGAGAAATTTTTATTTTTTTGTATTTTTTCTGAAATTTTACAGGAGAAAATATATTTAATATCATATTTATATCTTATAGTATAAGTCTATAACCCCAATATTAAGTAAAAATATTGCAAATAAAAAATATGAAAGACCCACAAATAATTTTAAAATGACATTTGAATTTTTTTAATATTTTAAAAAATTATTTAAGGTTTATATTACAAAACAAGAAAAATCTAGTAAGGAATACTGTGAAAAGTTTGTTAGAATGTATTTGTCAAATAAGCCCTAGCAACTAAAAAATACATTTTTTTCCTTTGTAAAATTTTAGTTCAAACAAACACAGCCTTGAGCCTTTGAAAGGCTCAGCCCAATAACAAGAAGTCGGGCTTCATAAAACCATTGCCGGCCTCCTCCGAAGAAAGAAAATATGGGTTGTCTCTCCTACAGCAAACAAAAGCCTTTTCCATGGAAAAGAAAAATAACCCAAGATTTTGAAACAAAGCCTGACCCCTAACAAAAACAGACGCTCTCTGTTTGGTCTTGAAAGATCAAAACAGCTGAGTTAATGAATCCATGCATAGCTCGTGCCCAGAAACCATGAACACGTAGCGAACAAGTCACAGCAAATTTATATTTTTTAAGGAACATAAGAGTTATACCTATATTAGTAGGGATGGTGTGTCTTGCTTTGAACAAACACCTACCCAGTCTCCTTTTCCTTTTCTTCTCTTTCTGTTTCTCCTGTGTTTCCCTAACTTCTGATGCTGTGATTGAGAAGAGAAGCCTCTGCTGTTTTTATTTTATTAAATCTTCTGTTTCTAGCTGTTCACAATGCTGCTGTTGCAAAGCTGAGGAAAGATTTTCCGCTGATGAAAAAGATTCTCCATTGCTGCTCCCGGCGCAGAGGGGATGAGAGGCGCTGAAGGCTGACAAGGAAAACCTCCTCCTGCTGCTTGTTCACGGTACTGAGAAGATGACGCTGCTGGAAGGAGGAGCTTCCACCACTGGTGTCAGGAGAAGTTGAGTGACGCTGCTGCTGTTGCACGATCTGCTACTGTTACTTGAAGGGAGTTGCTGGACGACAACAAGTCATGGTGGGCAGTGGTTGCTGATGAAAAATGTCTTCCACTGTTGCTCCGGAGCTGCTCACGTTGCTGGTGCAGAGAGGTTCGCTGCTGCTGCAGGTTCTTCCAATTGCTAACGGGATGTGTTGATGAACAGAGAAGATGAGCTGCTGCAGCGTGTGTAGCTGGTGCAGAGCTTGAACCTGAACTGAGATCACTGTGCTATCGAGGTTGTAGAGAAGTAGTTGATGTTGATGTAGCTAGGAATTTAAGGCTACAGTACTACTGCTATGGAGGGACTGGCCGTTTCTAGCAGAGAGAGGTTACTGCTGACTCACGGTGCTGAAGGAGGAGTAGGCTCCTGCTGCTCAAGAGTAAACTACCGCTACCGCTGTTGCTCACGGGTACGGAAGAGTGACAGCTGTGAGGGAGAGAAGGCTTGTTGTTTGTCCTGGAAAACAAGGGTCGGGTCACGTTTTTTCATGTTTTTGTAGAGAAGGGGAAGAAACTTACTACTTGCATTGATTAACTTTAATTCCTTGTCGGAAAAGGAAAAGAGTGCGTGTGCGTGTGGATGACAAAGCTGGGATCGATCTGGGAAGGTGATGAACAAGTGGATTCGTACTCATAATAATAATAATAATAAAAATACGGTCAACTTCTTAATTTAGATTATAATACAAGGTCGCTATATATAATATTGCCCATTAATTAGTTGTGTGGTTATATTTGATCCATAACAAGGAAAGAAAAGAAAAGAACTTGGAATGCTTGAATTCTTTAACTTGGAACCTTCTCATGAGACGCGTCCAAAGAAGGGCCATTTACAAGGCAACGGCTAATTCATTAATGCGGCTACGGCATCCATTTTCAACTTAATTCTTTGGTTAATTGTTTGGATTTAATGCGGCTACGGCATCCTTTTTCAACTTAATCATTTGGTTAAACCTCCACTCCTCACTAACCAAATTAGGATGCGGTGGCCGAAGAAAAAATCAATCAAAAACACCAAATCCATAGAAATATCTTAAAACGTCAATTTATAACATCACTTCATATCATTTCTGTTCACAAATTGCTAAAAATTATGAAATTTTAGGACTTAATACTTGCTACTACTTTGTGTATGAAATTTGATTTGGTGTTTGTTTTTTATTTTAAAGTGATTTGATTATTTATATTGAATTGCAATTTTATTTATTTATTTTTAAGTTATGATTACTTTCTGGATATTAGATGTTGATTCGTGAATTATGTATGGATTCATGTTAATTTATTTGAGTTAGCATAAAATCTGAATAAAACTAATAAGATTAATTTGAATTTTCAATGTTGATTAGTTTTGAATGTATATTTAAAAAAAATATACATCTAGTGCAATTAAAATCCCAGCTTTAACAATTATTAAACCATGTAGAACATGACATACTCTGTTTGTTTTCTTAAGATCAGACTTCATAGACCTATCCTCTCCATTCTCCAAAGATTCTAGCATGTTTTTTTTTTTTAAAGTTCCTCAAATAAGAAACTTAATAATGCAGTTGAATGGATCTGCTAAACTCAATTTTCATTTGAGATTGGTTTTGTTTAAAAGCCTGATTAAAAAAATTAAATCCAAGAAGAAATTGTTAAAGTAGGCAAATTTAAAAAACCAAGAAAGCTCATTAATGTTAGTACTATGTTCCTCAATTTTTATACCAAAATAAAATAAACTAAATAAATAGAGTTTAAACGGGTTTGAGTTCAATCCAAATCATATTTTATAAAAATAATATATTTTAGTTTGGTCAAGTTTTAAAGTAAAAAATAAAAATAAAATCAAATTATAAGCACCCCAAGTCCAAACAACAATTTTTCATACTCAATTATAAGTTATTCTTAAATTCTTTTTATTTCAACTACAATTTTCATTCCAGCGGAGCTAGAAACTCTTGATCCAAACAATTGAGATAAGCTGCGTCAAGTCTCCCCCCAACCCAAATGCCAGGACACGCGGTTTACATGAGCTGGAATGCTTGCAGCCAAAGAAAGGAACAGAGAGAGACAGAGATCAAAACGCGGTTTTCACGCATTGTGGTGATTCTAATTATATAATAATAATAATAAAGTCATTCAAAGCTACTCTCCAGACTTGACGCGTGTGACCTTCGCCCATATTATTATTACTTCGGTGGTAATTCATTTTTCAAATTAATTAATTAATTAAAACGTGCCACTCCTTGGGAATTATTGATAATCATATTTTATGCTATTATATTTCTTTTGTGTAAATATTAAAGAATATCAATTACCAGATCGGGATTGATATCTTGCTTCGGTCAGGTTTGCGTGTACTCGTCACAGTGCCTGTCGGAACAATGGCTTCATGTTCGATTTTGCGAGAAGGAAGATCAATTTTGTTGTTTGTGAAAAATTAAAAATGGAGGGACTTAAATCGCTATTTTGTCAAATATTTTCTTCCTCTTCTTCTTGCCCTGGCCTTTTGAACAAAATCGCTTTCGGTCCTCTCTGCTGTTTCTTTTTTTCATTGGCCCTTTTGACTTAAAACTGGATCCTGTGATTTGAAATTGGGGTTGATATTAGGTTAGTGTGGACTCATGGCTTTGTCAAGGTAGCATCCCCCCAATGAGCTCACGTTCGATTTTGCGAAAAAGGAAGTTAATTTTGTTGTTTACGAAAAAGTACAAATGGAGGGAGGGCCTTTAATTGAAATTGAAGTATAAGTTCTGGCAGGCCTTTCTTCATGTTTTTCTGGCCTTTTGGTCCTTTTTGTTGTGTTTTTCCTTAATTTAATCCTTTTATTTTGAATTAATTTGAGATTGATTTTTTTTTTTTTTTGTTTAGGTTAGGATAGGGTGGACTTCTCATGATGTCAAGAAAGAAAGTATCCCTTAACCATCTAGGTGGTGGCCAAGTGGTAAAGACTTGGGACTCAAGTTCGAATCCTTGGTTGCTCATATGATGGCCACTGGAGGCTTACATGGTCATTAACTTCAGGGTCCGTGGGATTAGTCGTGGTGCGCACAAGCTGGCCCGGACACCCATGTTAATCTAAAAAAAAAACAAAGAAAGAAAGAAAGCATCCCGACAACGCGTTAATGTTGAATTTTGTAAACTATGAAATTCTTTTTATTATTGACAAGAAATTAAAATAGATTGAAATTGAGGGTATAAATATGGATTTCCTTTGCATGCATTGTAGTAGTGCCAACATGTTTTTTCAATTATTTTGGTTGTTGGACAAAATCAATTTTGGTCCTTTTATTAGTTTTTAGAAATAATTACAAAAACATCTTATAATTTTGTCTAAATTTCATCATCTCTATGTACTTTTATACATTATACTTTACATCCTAAACCAAATAAAAAAAATTCAAATAAAATATATTGTTAGGAATGTCAACTTTTATTGAAGATATAAATTATATTATAAAAACTGTAATTTATGAAAATACAGAGCGAAAATGGAACTTAGGAGAGTTTTTATAACTATCTCTTTTTTATTATGTATTTCTTAATATAATTTTTTTATATTAAAGTGTTTTGCTATTGGTGTTGCCATTATATATACTGTATATTTAGGGCTGGTGTGCTTGCGTCTATGCTATGGCTTTACGATGTGAGCAAGCATGTGGGTAGATGCCCCACTATTTTTACTTTCGCTTCTTGCATGGAATAATATTTTTATTAAAATAACTTTATTAGTTCATTTTTTTAATGTTAATCTAACTAGATTTAAATTAAATTAAATTAAATCAATTCACTAAAAATGTAGTCGTGTTAACCTAATTTCTGTCGGGTCAAAGTTGCTTATAGCCTATGAAGGGTGTGCTTCCCTTTTTTATAAATGCCATGGCCACTCCTTATTTTTAAGATTATACTCAACAACCTTTTTTTTTTATTTTTTTTCCCTCTAAATCCATTGAAGCAAGCAAAGCATACAATATCAAGAAAAACTCCAATCAAGCAAACAACATAAAGCTATAGCATTCCCAAAAGCGAAGCTAAAAGCTGTCCAAGAAAAGTTCTTCCCCTCTCTCTTTCTACAAGCTCTCCAAAGGAGAAACCAAAACCCGAAACCAAGCCTCAAATAATGGAAGAACAGGAAGACAAGCCACTATTCTGGCTTCAAGCCACCAACACTCGCCACCGTTCCCGCGGCCTCCGCCGTCAAGCCTCCTCTATCTTCCTAAATTCTGGTGTATTCCTCGTACTATTACTAGTTGTAGCTCTCGCTTTTGTCTTTGTTGTTGTTTCTTCAATTGGCTCTTTCACAGCTCAAATTTCGAGACCACAGTCGATCAAGAAAAGTTGGGACTCGCTCAACTTTGTTCTAGTCCTCTTTGCTATTGTCTGTGGATTTCTTAGCAGAAACAACGGCGGCGGCGGCGGCGATAATGAAAACACAAGTTATTACGAAGATCAAAGCCTATCAAATGTACAAAAAGCATCACATCCGTCAACTCCTTCACAAAGATGGTTTGACCATCAAGATCGAACTGTGAGCTATAACACATTGAACAGATTGAGGAGTTTCAGTTCGTATCCAGATCTTCGTCAAGAATCTTTGGAACGGTGGAGATTTTATGATGATACCCACCTGAATAACTACAGGTTTTCAACCTCAAATGATCAGATTCATCATGATTATCCGCAGCAAGTCGAGGAAACTACAAAACAAGAAGAGGGTGTTGGTGTTAAAGATATAGACGTTGATACCTTTGTGATAAATCAAAAGGAAGTTTCATATCCATCATCGCCACCTCCCTTTCCTCCACCACATCCATCACCATCACCTCCATTGCCACCATCTCCGCCTCCTAAGCTTGTGAGGAGAAAGGTGAAGAGAACATATCGAGATCTTGGATATGAAAAAAGAACCGATCATGAGGAGAAAGTCCTAGAAAACTTCTACAATATCCCGCCACCATCTCCACTGCCGCCGCCGCCTCCTCCTCCTCCTCCTCCACCACCACCACCTATGTTCAGCAAGAACGAGAAAAGGAGAGGCAAAGATTTCTTGATTTCACTAAGAAGAAAGAAAAAGAAGCAGAGACAAAAGAGCGTTGAAAATCTTGATAGCTTCTTCAATCCTCAACCTACGCCAACTAGTACTCTACCTTTGATTCCGCCACCTCCGCCTCCACCCCCACCTCCTCATTTTCTTCAAAATTTGTTCTCAAAGAAAGGCAAAACCAAAAAACTCCATCCAGTTCCCCCGCCGCCACCTCCACCACCAGTCACACGTGTATCAAAGGTGGTCTCCCAAAAGGTTACGTCAAGAACCAAGGTCCAAGTAGCACCAATGACATCTGATAAACCTCCAGAACCAGCCAAGACAAGTCGTTTCAATAGCGTGGAAGAGAATATGGAGAGCGGGAATGCTTCACCTTTGATTCCACTACCGCCGCCGCCGCCGCCGCCTCCATTCAAAATGCCAGCATGGAAATTTGTTCATGATGGTGACTATGTTAGAGTAGGGAGTTTCAACAGTTCGAGGAGTGGATCGCCGGATTTGGATAGCATTGAGGATGCATCATCAGAGAAGGATCAGTCAAGTCCAGTGGCAGCAGCAGGTGGATCAGATTCAGCAGAAACGGCATTGTTTTGTCCAAGTCCTGACGTGAACACCAAGGCTGATAATTTCATAGCGAGGTTTAGAGCTGGTTTGAAATTAGAGAAGGCGAATTCTGCCAACAGAAGGTCAAATCTTGGTCCAGAAGCCAGCACAAGCACAAGCTAGAAGAAGGCTTCCGATTTGTTTTTCTTTTTATTTTTGGAGATTTGATTGATTTTTTATATATAATTTTTTTAAAAAAAATATTTGGCGAGGATGTATGTATGAATGTTGGTTTGGGCTGTCCTGTCATTTTAGGTGAAATTTTATTATACATACAGGAATGAATACATGAGAACATGGAATGAATTAATTATTTTTTTTTCTTTAATTACGTGAATTTTTGTGCTGCTCAACAAGAAGAAGAAGAAGAAGAAGCAGACACGACCTAAATCCAAGAACTGTCCCGTTTTCTTGCATTGCAGGAGCATGCATAGTATAGTAGTGGCTGTTGTCAATGCATTAATTATTGTTCTTGGTTGTAGAGGATTTTTATTTCTGTGTGAACACTCTACGCTATGATTTCTGATCATTTCTTCCGGTCCTTTTGAAAACGAGATTGTACACTGAAAAATAATTGTTTTGATGCTTTTCACCAAGGTTGCACATTGCTATCTTAAAAAAAAAAAAAATCAGTGTGAAAGAATTATTTTAATTTAATAATTTAAATAATTATATAAAATTTTAAGATATAATTTATATAATTTTTTATTATATTTCTTAAAATAAAAATTAAAAATTAAAAACTTGTATAAATTTATAATACTTTATTTTGAATTTTTATAAAATAAAATAAGAATTGTAAAATTTGTATTTGATCATTATAGTTTTAATATTATATAAAAAATATTTACCTCAACTTAACTTAATAGTATAAATTATTAGATAAAAATATAACTTATATAATCATATGATAAAAAAAATATGGCCTTCTGTTTCATTTAGATTTTTTTTTTAAAAAAAAAAAAAAACTCAAATTCTTGGTCTTGGGACGCAATGAATGGTGCCAGGATTTGCTCTTGACAGGGTGGAGGCATTGGAATGGATATATAGGTGGCTGGTGCACTGTGCAATGCGAAATTAAGAATAAATATTTTAATTAGCGTTTTGTAATGACTTTGAAATTTTTCTTCGAAAGATTTATGAATTATATATATATGCGCTCAAAGCGTGTAGATGGGCTTGCTATCTCTATAATTAGTGAGGCAAAGGAGAGAGGTTCATGTACTTGGAATCATGGCTGGGTGGTATCTCTGTCAGATAATTAAATACCAGCCATTGCAATATAAAGTGGCAAAGAACATAGATTCATGATGGGGAATTATGACCTGATTAATTTATTTGCACTTCAGACCCATTTATTTTGCTTTTAGCATCACGTTATGACACGGGGAAGTGTAGGAGGGCTTTTTTTAAACACACACACACACACACACACACAGTTCATGGAATAATAGAGCTGTCATGACAGATATCCGAAAGCATGTCACTCACTAGTAACTTTATTAGGGCAACTTTTTACATTGAATTATGAATCATACTTTGAAAGCTGGTTCTGTGATTAGTTCTTAAAGGGAACTTTCTTGTTTTCTTGATACAATCCACGGAAAAAAATTGGATTTAAGTATTAAGCTATTGAGAATAATTTTTAATTTAATTATTAAATTGAATTAAAATTTTATAAATATATTATTTTATATTAAATTAAAATTTCAAATCAATAAAATTCTAGAAAGATTTTGTATATATGTCAGCAGATATAATATAAATTTTACTATTTATTGCCTTTTAATTTTTTTATAATGCAAAGATATTCAATTGGTTATTTCTAGAATTTTTTTAGTTCTATAAAGATCTTTGATAAATAATAATATAGTTTTTAACTATGGTAAGGACCTTTAATATTTTAAATTTTTTTTTTTATAAGGATTCTTCATGTATCCTAAAGGAAATAAAAACTAAAATATTTAATGAAATATTATTTTTGGGTTAAAATATTTTTTTGTATTAATCTGGATTATTTTATTGTTTTGATTGTTGTTTTATTTTATTATTAAAATATTTATTTTCAGTTTAATAATCATGTTTTAGTTTGAATTTGTTTTAACTTAAAATCAATATTTTAGCCTGCTTCCAGTAATATTCCTTGCCATCAGAAAATGATTTCATCATCGACATCTTTTTTAATCCTTAAATTAAAATCTTCAATTTTTATTTCCTGAAATCATACATTTTCTTTCACCTTACTCCTTCCAAACGTGGGAACTTCATGACGAGGAAATATAAAAAGGAGAATAAAACTTCCATTTCCTTGGAAGGAAGCAAGGTCCCAGTGAAGATGGTATCGTGGGTGAATCACAGACTCTCCAGAGAGAAGAAGAAGAAGAAGAAACGATGCTAAGAGCAAGAGATAAACTTGCTCTCTGCTTTCTAGCAGCTGCAGGCTGCACAACATCATGAAGTAATTAACTCGTTTTCACGATAGATTACTAGACCATAACTCTCCATAGCTCCACCAGAAAATTCAGGGACTGCAACCATTCACCGCTCAGGAAGTGGGCAAGGCATCGAGAAGCATCACCAGGTTAGCTGAAAAGGCATCTATCTTTGATCCTTTATTGGGTGTTCAAGTGTTTGAACCACTAACATTGTCTACTATAGGTTCACTTGATAGCTTTCATAAGTCAAGTCTATGATTGATTTTTGAAATTTATTTTTTAAAAAATTATTTTTAAAATTTTTTTGAGTTTATTTAAAAAGCTAGTTAATGAAAAATAGAAAATTTTAGTTTTGTTTAGAAATGTTAATTATTATTATTTTTCAGTCAAAGAAAAATTTAGTTTTGTTTTCAGGAAAGTTTTTTTCTTAAAAATCTGAACAAAAATAAAAAATTTGAGTAGAAAAAACTTTTCGGAAGTTGTGAAAAATTTAGAAATGTCACTTTATTTGTTGATTATATTAAATTTGGTCCCCAAACCTTTCATTGCTATATATATTTTGTTTTGAATATTTATTTTTCAATTTGATTTCTTAAAATTTAATTTTTATATTAACTTTGGTTTTTATTTTTATAATTGTTATTTGCTTTTCCCGTATCATTTTTTATTGAAATTTGTTATTTATCAAATTTGATCCTCATTCTTTTGATTGTTACTTATTTTATTTGAAATAATTTATGAAATGTTAATTATTATTATTTATCTTTTAATTTTTTTATTTTTTAGATTTGATCTCTATTATTTTGATTATTATTTATTTTATTTAAGATAATTTATAAAATTATATTTTTTTCAATTTCATTCTCATTCAATTTTTTAATTTCTAAAATTTGTTCCTTATTATTTTAATAAACTTGAGAAAAATAAAATATTAATAAGTTATTTTCTAATTTATTTTCTATGATATAATTAAATACTAAAAAGTATTTTTTAATTTATTTTTTATTATATTATAAAACATCAAAAAATAATTTATTTTTTCAAATTTATTTTTTATAAAAACCTATTTTCCAGGAATAATTTCCTATAAGGGGTCGATGTTAGAGTGTAGCGTAAAGCTCACCTTCCCCGAAACAGAAACAAATTCGTAACTCGCTGAAATGTTTTTTTTTAATCTTAATTCGAGTTCCTTTCTGTTGAGCAGGTTATTGATGCACTACGTGTGTTGTTTGTACAATCAAACGAATAACACAGAATTTCCTCACAACCACTAACAGAAAGCAATTCACATACTCAGTAAATAAATCAAGTGCCTTGACAGCAATACTTCAAGGACATTTCTGTTTATTGCTCTGAACCAGAGGACACAGTACACACGAACCTCGACCTCTGCATGACCCTTTCAAAGACATGTAAGGCTGTAACATTCAAAGTGTTTTTGAAAACAAAAGAAGGGGATATTAGACTCATTAGAACATAACCTCCTGGTGTAACCCAACAACAACAGCCACCAAATAAGTTATGAGATGAGATCCCTCGAAATAAACAATCTTCTAAGACCAATACAAATCTCTCACCATCTTCATCCAAAACAACATCACATGGACGATACTGTCGCTGCATACGGATCAAGAACCGACTATGGTATCAAGAAAGCCTTGTGCCAAATCTAAATGACATCGTTAGATACTATAATCAAGCAATAATTACTTGGTTCTGAGAGGCAATGAACGAGAGTCCATGGATATTGAATTCAAGAGCATTTAAGACGATAAGCATATCAGGTTTAATGATTCCAAGGTTGATGCATACTGTGCCAGAAAAAGGGCACACTGAAAGATCAGGTTTGAGGTGAAGATCATAACGATTACAGATGGCAAACTTTGGCAATCTTGTTTAGCTTTTGAACTGCTCTATGTTCTGTTTCTGCTCCATTGTTTTAGCCAAAACTCTCCTTGGTAACTGGGAGAGGGAGTCAGATAAGGACACATTGGAAACTCATCTCATTGTCTAAGGACAGACTGGGTAATTTCCCCTTACTTAAAAAGTAAGGTCAAGATGACCCAGGAGACCTGAAATAATATTCTGTGTGCGATCGGAAGGTTTATCATGTCAATAATTGAACATCAGAAAAGGAGTTTTGGAGGTAATTTTCTTTCAACATCTTTTGCTCTTTGCTGTGACAATACTCAGATGGAGATGCACTGTTTCCCCCCTTTTGCCATGTTGGCCCTGCTAGATGGGTTGGACTTGAGAGTGGTTAAAGCGACAACAGGCGTTGAACATATTGACAGAAGAACATGCACTCTCTAAACATGCTGTGCATTGTAGATGTATAGATGCGTTCAGCTTCATAAAATCCTGAGTAAGCCCATAACAAGACCCAGAATTTCAGTCCTCTCATACGTTAATTAACAAATTTGAGAGCAAGGGCAAAGGAAAAAGGTTTGTATTGTGATACGAATAAAATATTTTTTTTTAAGTCTAGGAATGTCAAAGTAATAAATAAACTGGTAAGACCGGGATCGAACCACAGAGAAGTTAATTATTCAAATTATAAACAACAATTATAAACAACAACAATAATAATAATAGCAATAATAATACTAATAATACTAGTAGTAGCAGTAGTAGTAGTAGTATTAATAATAATAATAATAATAATAACAATAATAAAGAAAAAGAAAAAGAAGGGTTGATGAGAATTTTGAGATGGAAAATTAACGTAAGGATTAAATGATGATAACAAACAATGTCCAGGTTAGAAGATCCACTAATGGTATGTCAAACAAGTATAGTATAAACTCTTATTATTCAATTGGAAATCACACACAAAGGAGGTTCCAATCAGATTATAAATTGTTAACATGATTACATTAGTCATTTTATTCGA